AAGGCAGAGAGCTCGTAATGTTCTTGATCAGAGGTCAAGACAGATCGTATTCGTTGTAATGGCACACATAGCTTGTGCTGGTTTTCATCAGCTTTGTCTTTTTTATATTTCAAGGCACAGTATAGAAGTCTTCAGATTTAAAAAGTGACATAACTACAAATGATGTGCACCTGCTAGAACCAAGATTCATTCAAAGTTGAGGGAGAAAATCCTCTCTAAATCTCATGGTGGAATGGATTCACCCACGCAAAAGGCAGAATTTATCTTGGCTACAGTGGTGTGAATACCGAAAAAACCCCAGAAACATTAAAGATAAGGCTCAAGATTTTCAGCAGTGTAGCTGGGATGTTGTCTATTCCAGAATGTTAAATGATTAACTCTCTGCAAAATGTTCCTGAGCTATTTAAATTACTGACTTCATCTATTGGAAAAAGAAGTAGTAGTAGATGGGCTTCAAGAGGTGAGATCTTTACTCTAGGATTAAGTGATGTTCTCGCTGATTTTGATAGCAAAAATGACTGGAAGAAGAGGTAGAGCAAGGCTTTACGGTGGTGCAACTTTGCTTTTCCTCACACTACAACGACTTCTTATGAGGCAGGCAGTAATCATAATCCCTTTTCGTGTATGTGTTTACTTTTGGCAAACAAAGTGCTGTGATGCAGACAGCCTTCTTACTTGTGACGGGTTGTGTTTAAAGGCAGCATAACAATTAAAAGAGAAATAACTTGCCGGAATACTTTGTGACCCTGTTTTCTGTCTTTTCCTAACTAGTAATTTTATGTAATACCTGGCTCTGATAACAGCATACTATGCCAGCTGTGCCCAGTGGTGTCCACCTCAAGTCTGCGCCCACCTCAAGTCCACTCTACCAGTGGAGTCCACCTCCTCTTTGAGGAGCAATGGCATTGTCTCAGCATGGAAAATTCCAGAAAAAAAACCCCAAAACTATAACATTCTTTCCTTGGCTTTGTTTTGTTTTGTTCATTTTTTAACCTGCTGGGGGCAGCACAGATGAAGTGAGCCTTTTGGCAGGGCCACTGGAGTGAGGAGAGGGGAAGTGGCTTTGTGGGCCAGGACTGGAGGGACAATTGCGTGCGAGGGCAGGAGCAGTATTAGGAAGATGTTACTGAGTCATTTGGATGATAAAACATTGGTTTTAGGTTAGACTGAGGTAGAATTATGTAGGGTCTCTGAATGAAAGCCAGATGATGAAACTGGATATGGTAAAAAGCAATGAGCTAGCTAGGAAGCAGCCTCAGAAAGAGCATTGCCAGAGGAGGGAAGTGAGAAGGCAGTTTTCTTCCTATTGTAGAACTAGTATTTAGTTACAGTAATAATATTGTGTATTTGAACATCACCTTGCTGAAAGCATGTGCTTCTCTATCACCTTTTGCCCTCCAGATATTTAGACGCTTCATCTTAAAGAAATGTGTGTTGTTAACTTTTGGGGGAGTTTTTCACTATTCAGACTTCTGAAGCCTAATTCCGATATTTTTCCTTTGAGTACCGCATGACGAGAAACGGTAAGGCCATTAGCACACATGCTACAGGAACAGCTCTGCTCAGTCGCCCAGAAGGGCAGCGTGCCCCAGCAGAGCGTCCTGTTTTCCATGTGCACTGCAACGTCCAAGCGGAGATCAGTGAGCCAGCTCTCTTGGAGCTCTCTTTTAAGAGTTATTGCAAATACTTGTCCAAGTCACGCAGTTGTTACACCCTGGAACAGGCCATAGGTTAGATGCAAAGGTGCTTAATTTTTTTCAGTCAATATTTACAATTATTATTGTGAAACACCAACCAAGTGTAAAAAAAAGAAAGCTAGCAAGCTGTATCTTGATCAAAGTGCGCTGCTGTGTGCTTCCCCTTCAGCACACTGCTGGTACCCTGGCAAGCTGCCCGAAGGAGCCAGCGGCAGCCGGCGGCTCGGGTTGCAGTCTGTACACCTGACGTGTAGCTGAGGGCCAGGGACTCCTGCTCGGCGTGGGAACAGCTTTGCAAAGCCACCATCCTCGGTCTTACAGTATTTAATTAAAATACCTCATCTAGGGGCTGTTTATGATGGCAGCGCCAACCTGTGTGTTGTGCTTTTTGTTCTCCCCCCCCACTCCCGATGTGTTGCACACAATCAGTGAGGCACCGCATGGGTTGCTGCTCTTAGACACTGACAACTGAGGAAATTAAATTCTGAGGCGGAATCAGTTAAAAGCCTGACTAAATCAGTGTTGTTTTTCTATGGCAACTGAAACAACATAATTATTTAAAGGATAAATTTTTATTGCTAATGGATTTTTTCAAGACAGTAAGTTTTTTGCATTTTGTTTATACCGGGACCCTCTTAAATACATTTTGGGATTTTTAATTTTTTTTTTTTTTTTTTTTTTTTAAGAGAATACAAGCAATTGAGTTCAATAGGACACTGTTAGATAAACGCAGTGATAGGCTGCAGTTCTGGTTTTGTATAAAGTAATATGCCTTTTAGGTACTTGGCAGTGTTAGTATTACTGGTTTGTGCAAGAAGAAATATATATTTATATAGTTATTCATCCTTGAAAAAGCTCATCATATTTGTAGAATCCGTAGTGACGAGTCTGTATTTAAAAACTTAAGACGATGGAGCATTTGCTTATACTGTTTAAACAACTCTTTTGACTATACTAGACAAAATCTTGAATTTTTGTTCAGGTAAGCTAATTAAAAGAAAACCATAAGGATGGTCTGACCTCACAGATGCTTACGCACGGGTTTTGGTTTCTTCTGTCTCTCTCCTTCAACGTGTCTGCCTATAAGTGAAGCATGGGCAAAAGTTGTTACAGAATTGGGTCTTACTGTACAAAGTTATTAAAAAATTCAAAAGGATGCCCTGAAGGTACCGGTAAACCTGTGGAAATGCATAATTGCAGTGATTGCTTCTTCTCCCCATTGTTCTGTATCTTTTCCCTCATATACCATATTGCATATTAAGTTTTATAGAGCACTGATTGTTGTTTTGTAAAAGCATGCTCCTTGCAAGTAGTGATATCCTTAGTAGATGTCGTACAGTCTCGAATGATGTTTTCTTTGGGAGGACAAAATCCTATTTGGGAGGAAATCACCCCCTCTTAAGGGGGCTTACAAGGGGGGCGATTATAATGGCAGAAATTGTTGGTATCAGTGTTTAGAATTGTTGTATATTTTCTCATCCTATGAGTGCATACATGTATTTACAATAGGGTTTTCTGTTGCATTTGCTTAAAAAAAAACCCACTGAGCTAAAAAGTTTGAAAGGAACAGCTTGAGGAATTTTTTCCATCAAGATACAATCAAGGGCAGGAAATCGTAGAAGCAGAGTTGTGGTTTTGCCTCCATTTTTTTATTAGTTAATTAAACTATAACAACGCTTAACTTCATTTTAGGTTAACTGTTCCTAGAGTTCAGAAATATTTTAAGAGGTCAATAATGCTTTCTTTGGCTTTCGCTCATTCGGTGTGGGATAAGGAGTCGCAGTCAGTAGGGCAGAGTTTTCCAGATGTGCTGCAGAGCGTGTGTGCGTGCGCTCATGTCGACAGTTGTTGGCGGTGGGAAACCATCCATCTTTCCTCATCTGTGCACCACCCTGTATGGATGAAAACCACAGGAAAGAAACGTGGATAGCCTGACATCTGTAAGCGAACTTACAGTATCTGATTAAAGCTCAGGAGTGCTGAGTACTTGCAGCTACCAGTTGACATGCATTTTTACTCGATGATGGAGAGGTGCTGAGTCTGAGTGAGAGCACTGGGGGAGGGGGAATCCAAAGGGAAAAATTTGAGACGATAGGTGTGTATTTAGTTTTGCCAGAAGCAAAAAAACCCCAAAGACTCCATTGTACATTGCAGCATGGGTTTTCTCTGTGAAGTTGTGGTGTTTCTTCTTTAAAGTGCCGTGAGGCGTCTGTCTGCGTTTTCTTCTCGGCGCGTAGAGCTGCTTAGAGGCGTGCACTTAAAGGGCATATGAGGGAAGCAAATAGAGCCATGCAAGTGTCACATAACTGTCTTTAATAACGGGAGCTATTCCAGCACTGGGAGCCAAATCATCTTTCAGCAGAAAGGATAAAATTTAGCAGAGCTGGGAAAGGGAAAGAAGAAAGGGGAGGGGAAACACAGCACCACCTCCTGCTGACACCACGGAAGTTTCCCTCAGCTTTCCCTCTCTCTCCCTCTCTGCATATATTTTCTTTTTAATCAGCTGGGGCTCTTCCCTCCCCGGCTTTTTTTTTTTACTGTATTTTTATAGTTGGAATTCTGCTTTCCTAATTTCTCTTGTTTCACGTTTAACTTCAGAGAATTTCATTAATAGTTACTGCAATTAAAAATAATAAATAAACTCAGCTCCAGCTGCTCAAATGGCTGTCATAGCATATCTGGAACATAATGCAGTCTGTTCAGGGCAGCCACACAATGCAATTTATCCCCACACCAAGGGAATGAATTTCACAACTATAATTGCTACAATATAATTCTTATTAATGTTGTGCTATAATTCCTATTAATTCCAAAGGGCTAGTAAATGCATTAGGACTTGTCAACATATTATTTTACACTGTTTATGATCTGTAGAATTACGCTCTTCAGTATTGTATTGCATAAAAAAAAGCCTTAAAATTAGCTTTAATTGCAGGGGGGGGGAAACCACATTTTCTGTTCGGGCACTGGGAAAGAAGGAAGGATCCTGGTGTTTGAGGAGTAATGAAACTGCATTTTAAAATCAGTCCTTTGAACTTTCTGTGCCACACAGTTAACAGTTGATGATGATATATTAATAATGCTTGTCCTGGTTATTAGAAAAAGAACCACTGGTGTCTTTATGAAGGAATAAATAACTATAAGAAAGATAGGTTTATAAAATTAAAAATCACTGTCTTCCAGCAAAGCCAAAAGTGGGGAAATTACAAGTCATTGTAACTGATGTAATAAATGCAGAATGTGTTATCTTGCTGTGCTCTTATTTGTTCTTGTTTTATCTATCTCACTACCCCGCTTTTCTAGGTAGTGAATACGATGAGGAGGAAGTAGACTATGAAGAATCAGACAGTGATGAGTCCTGGACTACAGAAAGTGCTATCAGCTCTGAAGCTATCCTTAGTTCAATGTGCATGAATGGAGGGGATGAGAAACCTTTTGCCTGTCCTGTTCCTGGATGTAAAAAAAGATATAAGGTAAGCAGTAGTGCAGACCTATCGTA